GGGGGGGTGGAATCAGATCATATCCCCAGATAACAAATTCATTTTTCAACATTTAGTTTATGCAGGTAAGTGTCATGGGACTGACATCCATTGAAACCCAACATTGTTCCATAGCTCAATATTTTCAAAATGGCTGGTGTTTGAAAATATGATTAATACTTCTCCACAGTTCATTCGACCCACGATCCATCTATCAATCTATGACGGGTTAGCAGTATAAACTGGATGTTACATTATAACATATTCACCTGTTAAAAGAATTTTACAAATACAATCTCTTTTCTTAAAGTTTTTGTTTCAAATGCTTGCATATATCCATAAGGAGTAGGTCTTACAGTAACAGACACAGTAAAACAGTCAGTCTTAAGGAATCAAAGGTAAATTATCACCTGGGCACCACTGGATTCTTGGACTGTTTTTCTTAATGAAGGAGTACCAGACTTGGAGTTTAAACCTTCAGCCGTACACACAGTGGCATAACTAGGGCAGGACCATGGGGGCAACCACCCCAGGCACTGACCTGGAGGGGGATAAGGGATGGAGAAGAGAAACAAACAAACAAACAAACCCTGCTGCTGCTGACAACCACATAATTATGATGGCTTGCTGGCAGCAACCAGAAGTTGCTGTTGCCTTTTTGCCCTGGGCACCCAGCCATGTTACTACACTGTTGAGTGCCCAGACTTGATATTTTTAGTTTTATAACATTAACTTCACTAGAAAATCCCTATGTATATCAATCCTGAAAAAAAGTTACCTTTTTCCTGGCCTGTTGGTCTTTGGAAGAATGTGCCTTTACATGCTTTCTCAGGGAACTTGGATCTGTGTATCGCTTGGTACATCCTGGAATCTGACACGCATACGGTTTCTAAAACAAAACCCAAAACAGGACAAAGCCGCACCTGTTAAACCACAGATTTTTGTAACAAGGAAAAATCAATTTTGAACTTTGGGAGTTCTTTGACTTTGCTCCCAAGGGCTGTGGTGTACAATAGTACAAAGCAGAATGCCCAGTAGCTTAATAGCACAGTAAAGAAGAAAGTGAGGCTTGTCAGGGAAAAAAAAAGCACATTATTTTTTTCTGACTTTTAACAGCCCATTTTAAATTTGAGCCATTTCTTAATTTACCTTATGATTGTCTTTGTCATTCTAAATGCATATGTCCTGTTGTACTTAGAATTCTTCCACCCTTGGAGCACCCCTTTTCACCCTCAGGATTAGTCAGAAATTATATTCTTTAGTGAATCAGGTAAAGAAACTGCAGTATAGGCCCAGATAGACTGCTTGAGAGTTACAGAAGAAATGTGCTACAGAAAGAGGGAGAATATGAGAAAAGGTTAGTCTACAATATGTCAGAGAAGCAGCAAATAGAAAGCAAGTTTTAGATATTCAAGTACCAGAAAGGTGGAAAGCTGCAAAGATGAATACACAAAGAACATATATTTTTATGTGAAGTAGAAGACATGTTTTTGGGTTCATACTTTCAAAATATACAACATGACCAAGATAGTCAGTCCCAGTGTCCAAGTAGGGCTTTTTTAAAACTCAGTGGGCACATCTATATGTGCACTGATATGCCATTGTTACTGTGCATTAAGTTTAGTACCTGTAACAGGCACTAAATGTACAATAATTGGCACTACTGCTTAATAGCACCGGTGCATGGTCTTTTAGTGATGCTAATGCTCAGTAGACTAATTCTACTGCGCATTAGAGCATTAGTACAGCTGTTGCCTACTGCGCATTTAGCATCTCGTATAGACGCATCCAGTAAGAGTCATGTGTACTTACTGTAATCTCTCTGGAACATCTTGGAATATTCACGAACCATTTATGCCACAATATGGAGTATTAAATATATGAAAATACATGAAATTGTGACCTGTTTGAAACGACCATTGTGTTGGCTATTCTCTAATTAAAAATTAGCGTTAAAGGTTTGTGACAAGTTATATATTATTTCTATTCTATTTCCTTGTGTAAACTCTGATTCTGCCTAAAGCTAATGTTATTAAGTTTTGTGATAAATTTTGTTCATGTAGTAGATCCTGTCTGGGAGCCCAATATTTAAAAACAAAAATTTGCTTGCAATTTGCACTGAAGTCTTTAATTTTTACAATAGGGTGGTCCCCCCACCACCAACCATAATTTACTGTTATGCACAATAGGGTATCCTTCCTCACCCCCATAATTTACAGAAACTTACTGTTACATATTTCCAATGCAACTTGAACAAAAACTGTCTCTAGGGATATCTGCATGTTTGATCATTCTACATGTTTTGCTTGTCTCCAAGCAGTCATTTCTGGAGCCCTGAAAAATCTTATAACTAGGAAAAAAATTACACCTTCAACCCACAGGTAGGCCATATGTCTTCAACTTCCCCTTTCCTAATAAACTAGTTTTGTCAATATATCAATCTGTTTGCAATCTTTGATAGCATTTTTCCAAACATTTCTATTTTTTCCCAAAGCATTTCAATTCATCTTTAGAACTGAAAGACTGTGGCAGAAAAATTCTATTCCTGCCCTGAAGAGGTTTCCTTCCCATGTAGGACAGTTTAGAATGGAGGTTTTGGTAAAACAGATCTCCCCAAATAGTTATATTACCACAACTTACTATCTGATGCAAACAAGTCTAAAACAGTCATTGACACAAGCATAATTGACAGTCAAGTAAAATTTAATCCACTTTAAAAGTTTTGCTCCCTGATGTTCTCAGTAGACCTTCATTACTTGTTCATTATACACTGTATCATAAAACAATCTCTTCTAAACTTCAGAATCTGCAGCACCATATAATGAACATATATACACTTTAAATTGAAGCAACATTTCACAGACCAGTCTAGTTCTGATGAAACATCAAGGGAGAGATTAAGAAAACAGCGGAATCAATGGAAAGACTCCCATTGACTTTACTGGAACTTTGGATCGAGTCCAAATGAATTGATTTTAATATGCCTTTTTTTAAAAGGAGCATAGTAATTGCATCAATCACTAATCTGCAGTAATGAATGTTAAGGTCAAATCAACTCAAGGGAGAAGTCCAGTGAAATCATGCTATATGACTAAGATGGATACGATTTGGCCCTCAAAGTAATTTGTGTTTTGGGATTTATTTATATAACATCTTGATTTTTCATCATGTTTCTCATGTCTGAAAGGGCTTTCTTGTTCTGTATCTTTGCAGGCAACGGTCAGTATGCTCATAGTCACACCTTTATGTTATTGCTCACGTGATTTTGTGATTAATTAGGGCCCATCTTACATGATTACTTTACATACTTCAGTAGGTAACCAAAGCCACCTCAAAACATACAGGTAGGCTTACCATCTGTCAGCTTACCGGAAGGCTTACCTTCTGTCAACTCCAATCTTAGTATACACAGAGGAAATAGAGAAATCTGAATAACACTTCAGTAATACTCTTGCAAGAGACTTGATTATGCCATAACTACCACTGCTCAGATTATGTTAGCAATCATTTTGTTTTATCGTCCTGTCATCCAGTGATATCTGCAGCAACATGGTGAGAAAAAAGAAGAAGAAGAGGACTTACAGTGTCCAGGTGTGTTCTCTGATGCTTTGCTCGATCGCTGGAGTTACTGAATGCTTTCTGACAGCCAGGATGCTGACAAAGGTAGGGTTTCTCTCCAGTGTGGCTCCTTAAATGAATCTTGAGATTTTCTAATCTGGAAAAGGCCTTCTTGCAGCCCTCAAACTATAAGAAAGAAAGATGTGATTTACAAAAAAACCCAACAACCCAAAATCAAGCTTAACTAGTCCGCAGAGGGCTCTATGCTGCTACAGTTACTACCTGAGTTACTTTGCTTAAAGCTCAAGGACCTCTATGGTATATTGCAGTCTGCAGAGTAGATACACTCCTAGTTACTTGCATGACCCCTTTTCTGTAGTTTCTGAGCAATTTACAAGTTTTTTAATGTATGTATCCTTACAAAACCCCAGTGAATTAGGAAACAAACATTATTCCCATTTTACAGATTGGGAATTGAGGCCTAAGGAGGCCAAGGGCCAGATTTACAAAAGGACTTATGTATAATTTAGAAGTCTAAGTTAATAAGTGCCATTCTGAGAATGAGTGCTCTGCTGGCACCAAAAGTTTTCACCAGTAATGATTCACAGATGCCTAAAGCTGCCTTAGGCTTGTCAGGGATGAGGAACCTAGTATGCTCCCTAGAGCATCCCAATTTGGTAGGTCTACTCAGAGCACAACTACAGCTCGCCTACAATTTCAGAGTCTGTGCAAAACAGCAGCAACTAAGAAATGCAGTCTGGAGGGAGTGACAGAAGAGGCAGTGATGGTTGTTCCTCCTCTGAGAGAGTGAGAGCGGGGGAGTGCACGTGTCAGTGAACATGGAAGAATGTATATGATTCCTTGTCCAAGCAGCTGGAATGCTCACCTGGGAGTCACCAAGAGCCACTTACTTATGCACTTCATCTGAAAAATATTCCATGTAAAACAGAACAGAGTCTGGAACCCAGATTTTCTTTTCCCCAAATGAATGCCCTGACCTCTAAGCCATAGAGACATACTCCTTGTTCTCTCTGTCTCTCTTTCATTCTGGCCTAACAAATCTTTCTCCACAGTCATACTGCTTCAGCAGGAGGGACAGAGAATGCCCCCAACTAAAAGAGCCTAAAGGTTAAGCCAGGTAGTTAGGGCAGTCTCTTAAGAGATGGCTTATAGGATTTAAACCCCTCCCTTGTACCCCCTGCTAATGCTTTTAATAAAGGGCAGAAACTGAGT